GAATTACCAAATGCACTTAAAGTCTTCGATTTGCCACTTATTAATTCTGAATCCTCCTGAGAATCTTCTTTACTAAATGAAGTACTACGAGCCTCTTCTATAATAGGAGCTACATGTATACTAGTATCCTCATCATATTCTTCTTCAGATGGTTCATCTTGAGGAAATGATAACACCTCAGTCGATGTATTACAATTAAACGTATTTAACAATGACATTGGATTACAATTTTCATATTTAATTTTAGAAAGAGGACACAAATGATTTTCCTTGCCAGAACAAAAATCTTTATAACTCTTATATATATCATTTATTTTAATGAGGTAACTACATAATTCTTGGCAGTTTCCACCACAATTACTAGTCATTTTATTAATATAATCAAAATCGATATAGTAATCATACAGTACTTTAGCATTTTCCCAATCCAGGTAGTAATTAATAATTGAAGAATAAGGTTTGCATTGATAGCTTATTGTATTATCACGAGAAGCTTTACTCCACATTTGTTGAATTTCATCAAACGCAAGAGTACATTTACTTTGATCTTTTTCAAGAGTACTTACTAGCACATCAGATACCCAATAGCTTAGCATATTGCAATACTCATTATTGTGAGCATATTGACGCCTTATTTTATCATATTCTTTAAATAAGTTACATATTTCGAGCAAAGCTTTTTAATTTATTCATTTTTGTCGTAGTGTGGAGGAAAATCTTTATAGTACCAAAATATATTAGATTGTAATTGCATAGAATCTTTTTTCAGTATTTCATAAAATTTAACTGAAGGTAAATCAGATTCAGTAAAAGTCTATAAGTTAAAATGGAAAAAAGCAAAATATAAATATTTATACATTCACTAATATTATATATTTTTTATTGCAAAACATTAATTGCAGGATATATATTAATACACATATATACAATAATATGTATAAATTTAAATGTATTCATACATCCGCTTGTATTTCAGGCATTTTTACATATTATAATATAAGAAATATAAGAAGTAATAAATTAATTAATGTCCCTATGTAATTATGCATGACATAATTTTGAGCTCATATATGAGGTGTAAATATAGAAATTGTCAATATAAGCATATATTTTAAAATAGCAGGTAAAACCTTATAATATATATTTTAAAAATATATATAAAAAGCCCTATGTGAAATATATAATTTATTGAATTTATTAGTTGTTGATTATCAATGCATATAGGTCTCTTTCTTCAAAAATTAAAAATAATAATGGCTAAAAAATAATGATATGAAGTTATTTTTAAAATTACATTTCAATAAAAAACATAATATATATGAATTATTATATATAAGATAAATATAAAAATGTTTTTATTACTTAATTTAAATTAATATTACACTGTGAATATGTAATTAAAAACATACAACATAATTTCAGAAAATTTGAAATATACATAAAAAAAAATTTTAATTATTCATCATATATAATATAACTTTAATGATTTTTCTTGTTTTTATCATTTATTGTGCCCTCTGTTTCAATGGATTAACAATATCTTAAAGGATTTTTCCTAAAAATTTAGATTTTATTACACAGTTTATTTATATTTTATATTCATTGGGAGTTACTCATGTAATAATGATAGTTGTTATGAAGTATATATATATTTTTTCAATAAATTTTATATAAACTAGTATTATATGTTTTCTTCATAAATATTCATTCATATCAGGTTAAGGATTTAGAACTAGTGCTTCGTTTTTAGGGTTCTTTTTAGACTTTAATAATTTCTTTGGGAAACTCGCATATCATTCATGTATTATATATACAGGTTCTATGTTTGCTTTTATTTTTTGGATATTCATTATAAATATATTTTATAATTATATAATAAACAATTATATAATAATATTAATATATTATATTTGTTTATGTGGATTAAATAAAATATTTCAATACATGTAATTAATATTATATTTAATATTTATATTTGTCACAATGTTATTTATTAATTGATTCTTCCATATGCTTATTATTTTATTATTTATTTTCAAATATATTATTAATAGTTCTATTATCTGACAAGGACTACTTTATTTTTGACAGTGTTCATAGAATTATATATAT